TTTCTGTTTCTCTATAAAATGATATATTAATTTTTGGTCTTACAATCAGTATAAAAGCACACATCAATAGCATTTGGTACTAAGTAGTAATTTGCCTTAATTTCCATTTTTCTGATTATTAAGAAAGACGTGTATACTGTTTATTTCTGCCCTGATATTTATTATTTCTCTTCTACTGGGTTTGGAGTGCTCTTGTTGCTGTCCCTCTAGTTCCTTTAGGTGAGCTGTTAGATTTTGTACTTGCACTTTTTCTAATTTCTTGAAATAGGCCTGGAGTGCACTGTACTTTCCTCTTAGGACTGCCTTTGCTGCATCCCATAGAGTTTGAATTGTATTTTCATTTTCATTTGTTTTTATATATTTTTTAATTTCTTCTCTAATTGCCTAGTTGACCCATTCGTTCGTTAGTAGGGTGTTCTTTAACCTCCATGTTTTTGGAGGTTTTCCAAACTTCTTCCTGTGATTGATTTCAAATTTCATAGCATTGTGATCTGAAAGTGTGCATGGTATGATCTCAGTTCTTTTATATTTATTGAGGGCTGCTTTGTGTCCCAGTATGTGATCTATCTTGGAGAATGTGCCATGCGCACTTGAGAAGAAAGTGAATTCCTTGGCCTCAGGATGAAGAGTTCTAAATATAGCTGTCAAATCCATCTGGTCCAATGTGTCATTCAAGTCTTTTGTTTCTTTAGTGATTTTCTGTCTGGTTGATCTATCCCTTGGTGTAAGTGGAGTCTTCAAGTCCCCTGCTATTAGCACATTCTTATCCATAAGATTGTTTCTGTTTTTGATTAATTATTTTATGTATTTGGGTGCTCCTGTATTCAGTGCATAGACATTTATAATTGTTAGCTCTTCCTGATGGATAGACCCTGTAATAATTATGTAATGCCCTTCTTCATCCCTTGTTACTGCCTTTACTTTAAAGTCCAGTTTGTCTGATATAAGTATAGTTACTCCAGCTTTCTTTTGACTTCCAGTAGCATGATAGATATTTCTCCATCCCCTTACTTTCAATTTGAAGGTGTCCTCAGGTCTAAAATGAGTTTCTTATAGACAGCAAATAGATGGATTTTGTTTTTTTATCCATTCTGCTACCCTGTGTCTTTTGATTGGGGCATTGAGTCCATTTACATTCAGGGTTATTATTGAAATACATGGGTTTAGAGTCATTATGTTCTCTGTAGGATTAATGCTTGTGGTGGTGTCTATGGTACTTTGTGTTCCTTGCAACATTTCTCTCATAGAGTCTCCCTCAGGATTTCTTGTAGGGCTGGTTTAGTGGTGACGAATTCTTTCAGTTTTTGTTTATTTGGGAAGACTTTTATCTCTCCTTTTCTGAATGACAGGCTTACTGGATAGAGGATTCTTGGCTCTATATTTCTTCTGTTCATCACATCGAAGATTTCCTGTCATTCCTTTCTGGCCTGCCAAGTTTCAGTAGATAGGTCTGTCACCTCTCTGATAGGTTTCCCTTTGTATATTAGGCCCTTTTCTCCCTAGCTGCTTTCAGAATTCTCTCTTTGTCCTTATATTTTGCCAGTTTCACTATGATATGTCATGCAGAAGATCGATTCAAGTTACGTCTGAGGGGAGTTCTCTGTGCCTCTTGGATTTCAATGTCTGTTTCCTTTCCCAGATTGGGGAAGTTCTGTGCTATAATTTGTTCAAGGACTCCTTCAGTGACTTTCTCTCTTTTCTTTCTCTTCCGGAATTCCTATGACAAGGATATTGTTCTGTTTGATTGTATCACTCAGGTCTTGAACTTTCCTTTCGTGTTCCTGGATCAGTTTATCTGTCTCTCTTTTTTTTTTAAATTTTTTAATGTTTTCTATTTATTTCTGAGAGAGAGAGAGAGAGAGAGAGAGACAGCATGAGCAGGGGAGGGTCAGAGAGAGAGGGAGACACAGAATCTGAAACAGGCTCCAGGCTCTGAGCTGGCTGTCAGCACAGATACCGACACGGGGCTCGAACCCGCAAACTGTGAGATCATGACCTGAGCCGAAGTTGGACGCTTAACCGACTGAGCCACCCAGGCACCCCCAGTTTATCTCTCTTTTTCTCTGCTTCGTCATTTTCTATAATTGTGTCTTCTAATTCACCTATTCTCCTGTCTCTTCAATCCATGCATTGGATGCCTTCATTTTATTATGCATCTCATTTATAGCATTTTTTAATTCATCACACCTATTTTTAAGCTCCATAGTCTTTGTAGCAATAGTTTCTCTGATGTCTTCCATGCGTTTTTCAAGACCAGTGGTTAATTTTATGACTGTTGTTCTAAATTCTTGTTCATTTATGTTGCTTATATCTGTTTTGAGCAGTTCTTTAGCTGTCATTTCTTCCTGGAATTTCTTTAGAGGAGAGTTCTTTCATTTCATCATTTTGGCTAGCTGTCTCTTGTTAGTTTTAAAAGCTTGTTATGCACTCTGCACCTGTGAGTACTGCTGTATTAAAGAAGGCTCTTTGTCCAGGGCCTGTCCGTTCAGGAAGTGTTCTTTGAATGGTCTCTCTTGGTCTCTCTTGTTGAGACTTTATTTCCCTACTTGTAGTGATATTTGGGACTCTCCACCATGTGTACTTTGGCTTGTTTCTTGAGGTAACCCTACTCCTGAAGTCACCTATTCTTGAAGCAAAAATAGTCCTTGGAGATCTGGTTCCACAAATTTCTGGTTCCACGAATCCAGAAACCAAACCACAGACAGGAATTGCCTTGTACAAAGTCCCACATCCTGAACCAGAGTCTTACGTCTAGAAATAACACATCTTCTGTTTTCTGAAGCTCTTCACTGATCCTGAAATTCCGTATGTCTCACCTGGCAGTTCCAGTCAAAGGAGGCACGGGGTGACTCCGAACACAGTGAAGCGAGTAAATTTATTGTTTTAAATGTTTGTCTTTAACATGAATGTTTGGTTAGTGTGTTCTTTCAGCTAATGTTCACTCCAGTGATATCCACTGTAGCCACTTTCAGTTCTTCCATCTTATATAAGTACTAACATGCTTCTAAAGATTAAGTCTTGAAGTTTGTGGGGGGGGGTTTCCTAAATATTGTTCATCTTGATATTGAAATTGAATTATACTTATTTTTTTAAAACAGTGATGTTAAATTAAGTCTTCTACTTTAGACTAATTTTTTAAATTAAAATTATAACATACATGGTCACTCTTGGGAAACCCTATTTACCTATAAGTTTACTTACAGTGTCTAGGTTTTCTTCTTTCCATCATTATCTAAAGAAGTTACTGCATTCTTACTGTGGTAACTTATTAAATTCTGTAGTAACATGGCATGACTTTAAGCACTCACAGTCTCAATAAATGATTTCTTTTCCAAGAGGATTTGATAGAAAGCTATCATTGATTAAGAGGGAAATGTATTTCTTCAGTTTCTCACACATATAAAGCTTGCTGGGTCTAAAAGCTCCCTATTTCTTCTCTCAAAGTTTTGCACCAGGAAGTGAGAAAATCACAAGACTTCAAAAAGTACTACATGGCCTAGTCAAATATGCAAGCCGTGCATATTAGGCCTCTTCATTCTTGTGGAGTCCAGGCTTCCAACTTGTGGTGTGCCTAAAATATTTTAGCACACCTCTTTTACTTAATTCACTGGCTCACTTCATTGGGTTAGAGAGTCTTGGCCACTTGCTTGTCACTATCATTTTGTATCAGTGGTAAGTCGCATATGTTATTTTGGTAGGTTTGAAGCAATTAGAAATTTTATTTGAAGCTGGATTTTATTAACTGTATAAAATTGACCTGGTAAATTTTGAGGAAGGATTATTTTAAACACTATTTTTTGTATCTTGTAAGTAGTAAATGCAAAAAAAAGTAAAAAATGCATACAGTAAAGAAAATTCAAAGGAAGAAAGTCTGCCTTCCAACCCTAAGTCCTACCTTCCATATATAAGCACTGTTAACAGTCTCTTGTATACACTTCAAGAAATTTACTGTGCACATTAAATCCTATCTATACAAAAATATGTATCTGATTTATACTTTAAGGAAATAGAAATGGGAGTTGTTATAATACTATACTATACCCTGCTTTTTTGACTTAATATTTTATGGACATTTTATTTATTTTATAGAATATTTTATAGACATTCATGTTAATACTAGACCTATTTATCTGGTTTGCACAAATGATATTTTCTTACAGTTGACCTAAAATTAAACAAAATTAACCACCTTGGCAAAAAAAAAAAAAGATTAGGGCAGTCCTAGAGGAGGAAATGCTGTCTTTTAAGAACTGGTCACAAAAAACAAATGAAAAACTTTGTCATATTTTATAGTTGTAAACTTTAAGAAGCCATAAATATAAGCATTTATTTCCCTTTAGGCTTGAGCAAGGAATTTTCCTGCTATTCCTAGTAAATTGGGCCTTTTCTTAAATCTCCATGTCTCAGCCTCTAACTTTTTCATAGCAATGTCCTCTGCAGACCTGGCCCAGATTCAAGAAATGTGCCATTCAACACTCACAGTGCTAGCATGATTAGAATGGCTTTTTTTTTTTTAATGTTTGTTTATTTTTGAGAAAGAGAGAGAGAGGGAGACACAGAAGGCTCCAGGCTTTGAGCTGTCAGCACAGAGCTCAAGGTGGGGCTCAAACCTGCAAATCGTGAGATTATGATCTGAGCCAAAGTCAGATGCTTAATCGACTTAGCCACTCAGGCAACCCGCCTTTTTTTTTTTTTTTTTTTTTTTAAAGTAGGCTTCTCGCCTAGCACAGAGCCCAGGATGGGGCTTGAACTCACACCCCTGACATCAAGGCCTGAGCTGAGATCAAGTCAGTCGCTTAACCAACTGAGCCACACAGGCGCCCCTAGAATGACTTTTTGTTGGGCAGTGAGACTTTTGATGTTTTAAAAATAAGGAACTATCCTAACCATATGGAATAAAAAGAATCATGTTTGTTTTACTTTTATTGTCTGGTCATTTAATCCTTAATATTTTGTTTTCCTGATAATTTTAATCAACACCTATATAATATATTCCACAGATTTCAATGGGACAGATGTTACAAGATTTTGGAAAATTTCTTGGGATGTTCCTTCTTGTTTTGTTTTCTTTCACAATTGGACTGACACAACTGTATGATAAAGGCTATACCCCAAAAGAACAGAAGGACTGTGTGGGCATCTTCTGTGAACAGCAAAGCAATGATACCTTCCATTCGTGAGTGTCTTTTAAAATTTTTACTCAAATATTCTTTCAGTTGTATCATATATGAATTAATATCTATAGAAATAGAACTTCAAATTTTCTTTAAGACATTCCTTTTTTTTTTTTTAAATTTTTTTTTTTAATGTTTTATTTATATCTAGGAGAGAGAGAGAGAGACAGCGTGAGCAGGGTAGGGTCAGAGAGAGAGGGAGTCACAGACTGAAACAGGCTCCAGGCTCTGAGCCGGCAGTCAGCACAGAGCCCGACGCGGGGCTCGAACCCACGAACCGCGAGATCATGACCTAAGCGAAAGTCGGACGCTCTACAGACTGAACCATCCAGATGCCCCATACTCTTCACATTAAATGTCAGTAGCAACTATCCATTATTGTTACAGGCAAAACCATCTCTCACATTTTCAACACTTAGTAGGAAGTCACTAGAATTGAGAATCATTAGAGCTTCATCAACAATTTTTTTCTCTCATTTACTCTATCATAAGAAATTAAACAACCAGCTCTCCAGGCCTATTTCAAGAGATTAGAAAAAGCGCAAGTCCAAAATCTAACAGCTCACCCAAAGGAACTAGAGGCAGAGCAACAAGAATGCCCTAAACCCAGTAGAAGAAGAGAAATAGTAAAAATTAGAGCAGAAATAAACAACATAGAGACCAAAGAAACAATTGAACAGATCAATGAAACCAAGAGTTGGTTTTTTGAAAAAGTAAACAAAATTGACAAACCTCTAGCCAGACTTATCAAAAAGAAAAGAGAGAGCACCCAAATAGACAAAATTATGAATGAAAATGGACTTATTACAACCAACTCCTCAGAAATACAAGCAATTATCAGGGAATACTATGAAAAATTATATGCCAACAAATTGGACAACTTAGAAGAAATGGACAAATTCCTAAACACACACTCACTACCAAAATTCACACGGGAAGAAATAGAAAACCTGAATAGACCCATACGAGTGAAGAAATTGAATCAGTGATCAAAAATCTCCCAACAAATAAGAGCCCTGGACCTGATGGCTTCCCTGGGGAATTCTACCAGACATTTAAAACAGAATTAATCCCAATTCTTCTCAAGCTATTCCAAAAAATAGAAATTGAAGGAAAATTCCCGGACTCGTTTTATGAAGCCAGCATCACTCTGATTCCCAAGCCAGACAGAGATCCAGCAAAAAAAGAGAACTACAGGCCAATATCCTTGATGAATACGAATGCAAAAATTCTCAACAAGATCCTTGCAAGTCGAATCCAGCAGCATATAAAAAGAATCATCCACCAAGATCAAGTGGGATTCATTCCTGGGTTACAGGGCTGGTTCAACATTCGCAAATCAATCAGTGTGATACATCATATCAATAAAAGAAAAGATAAAAACCATATGATCCTGTCAATAGATGCAGAAAAAGCATTTGACAAAATACAGCATCCCTTCTTATTAAAGACTCTCGAGAAAGTTGGGATAGAAAGAACCTACTTAAACATCATCAAAGCCATCTATGAGAAGCCTTCAGCTAACATCATCCTCAACGGGGAAAAACTGAGAGCTTTCCCCCTGAGATCAGGAACACGACAGGGATGTCCACTCTCACCACTGTTGTTTAACATAGTGCTGGAAGTCGTAGCATCAGCCATCAGACACCAAAAGGAAATCAAAGGCATCAGAATTGGCAAAGAGGAAGTCAAACTTTCACTCTTCGCAGATGACATGATACTCTACATCGAAAACCCGACAGACTCCACCAGAAGCCTACTAGAACTGATCCAAGAATTCAGCCAAGTTGCAGGCTACAAAATCAACGTACAGAAATCGGTTGCATTTTTATACACCAACAATGAAGCAACAGAAAGAGAAATCAAGAAACTGATCCCATTCACAATTGCACAAAAAACCATAAAATACCTCAGAATAAACCTAACCAAGGATACAAGAGATCTGTATGATGAAAACTATAGAAAACTTATGAAGGAAATTGAAGAAGGCACAAAGAAATGGAAAAACATTCCATGCTCATGGATAGGAAGAATAAATATAGTTAAGATCTCATTACTACCTAAAGCACTCTACACATTCAATGCAATTCCAATCAAAATTGCACCAGCATACTTCTCAAAGCTAGAACAAACTATCCAAAAATTTGTATGGAACCACAAAAGACCCCGAATAGCCAAAGTAATACTGAAAAATAAAACCAAAACGGGAGGTATCACCATCCCAGACTTTAGCCTCTACTACAAAGCTGTCATCCTCAAGACAGTATGGTATTGGCACAAAAACAGACACATAGACCAATGGAACAGAATTGAGAACTCAGAAGTGGACCCAAAAGTATACAGCCAACTGATCTTTGACAAAGCAGGAAAGAATATCCAATGGAAAAAAGACAGCCTTTTTAACAGACGGTGTTGGGAGAACTGGACAGCAACATGCAGAAGAATGAAACTAGATCATTTTCTCACACCATGCACAAAAATAAACTCAAAATGGATAAAGGACCTGAACGTGAGACAGGAAACTATCAACACCCTAGAGGAGAAAGCAGGAAACAACCTCCTTGACCTCCACCGCAGCAACTTCTTACTTGACACATCCCCAAAAGCAAGGGAATCAAGAGCAAAAATAAACGATTGGGACCTCATCAAGATTAAAAGCTTCTGCACAGCCAAGGAAACAACGCAGAAAATTAATAGGCAACCAATGGAATGGGAAAAGATAGTTGCAAATGACATATCAGATAAAGGGTTAATATCCAGAATCTATAAGGAACTCACCAAACTCCACACCCGAAAAACAACCCAGTGAAGAAATGGGCAGAAGATATGAACAGACACTTCTCCAAAGAGGACATCCAGATGGCCAACAGACACATGAAACAATGCTCAGCATCCCTCCTCATCAGGGAAATACAAATCAAAACCACACTGAGATACCACCTCACGCCAGTCAGAGTGGCTAAAATGAGCAAATCAGAGAACTCTAGATGCTGACGAGGCTGTGGAGAAATGGGCACCCTCCTACACTGTTGGTGGGAATGTAAACTAGTACAGTCCCTCTGGAAAACAGTGTGGAGGTTCCTAAGGAAACTAATGATAGAACGCCCCTACAACCCAGCAATAGCACTGCTAGGAATTTACCCAAGGGATACAGAAATGCTGAGGCATAGGAGCACATGTACCCCAATGTTCATAGCAGCACTCTCCACAATAGCCAAAACATGGAAAGAGCCTAAGTGTCCATCAACAGACGAATGGATCAAGAAGATGTGGTTTATCTATACCATGGAATACTACATGGCACTGAGAAACAATGAAATCTGGCCATGTGTAGCAACATGGATGGACCTTGAGGGTGTTATGCTGAGCGAAATAAGTCAGGCAGAGAAGGACAAATATCATATGTTTGCACGTATAGGAGGATTAGGAGGTACTTGACGGAGGAACAAGGGGGAGAAGAAGGGCGGAAATGGTGGGGGGAAAGGGAGAGAGGCAAACCATGAGAGACTCTTGAATGCTGACAAAAACTGAGGACTGATGGATGTGGGGGGGAGGGGGGGATGGGCATGGAGGAGGACACTTGTGGGGATGAGCACTGAGTGTTATGTGGAAACTAATTTGACAATAAACTATTTGTAAAAAAAAAAAAAAAAATTAACCAGTTGTGAGACAGACAAAATACCTCCCCTCATTTTTAAGTAACACAATGGAGAAGGGCTGTGGAACTATGCATTTGTTGTATTTCTGTTATGTACCAACTATTCTTTAGATATTTGGATGTCAACTTATTTAAGATTAAATGAATAATAATATTTATTTAATACCTTCTATATAACAGACACTGTTCGAAGTGCTGAGTGAATGAAGTACCAGTGAGCAAAACTACCTCACAGAGGTTACAGTCTAGTGAGGTGATATAGTCAGCAAAAAGAGAAATAAAATACATACTATATTACACAATAAAAGAGACCAAAGAGACAAAACTTGGCCAGGGAGGATGTATGTGTGAGAGGTTGCAGTTTTAAATAGGAGACTGGGGAAGGCCTCACAAGAGATGACATTCATGTTAACATATTAAGTTGATGAAAGATCAAGCCATGAAGAAGAGTTGGAGGAAGAGCATTAGCCAGTAGAGGGAATGGCAAAGGCAAATGCCCTGAGTTGGGAGTGTGTCTGGCTGTTCAGGGAAAAGCCAGGAGGTCAGTGTGGATGAAATGTAGTGAATCTGAGGGAAAGGTGTAGGAGATGGGGTCTGAAAGGTAATAGGGATCATGTAGAACCTTGTTATTCTGTGATCTTTGTAAGGACTTTGGGCTATTGAGATGGAGAGCCATTTGAAGTTTTTGAGCAGAGTGGCAGCATCTAATTAGGCATTCATGGGAATCTGAGAGGCTGCTTTGTTGAGAATAGAAAAGCAGTAGGAGGTTAAATGAAATAATTTATCCTTTTGAGTGTATTTCTTTGTTTAAGCTAAGGCATATGTAACTGTTGTGTTCGGTATCATTCATATTATAATGTTATTCTTGCTTGGATTATCAATGTTTTATTTATGGAATGTTGATATAAATGAATTCTTTTGTTAATTAAGTTATTTAATTTCCTTTTAAACAGAAATGTAATTGTCTTTACAGGTTCATTGGCACTTGCTTTGCTTTGTTCTGGTATATTTTCTCCTTAGCACATGTGGCAATCTTTGTCACGAGATTTAGTTATGGGGAAGAATTGCAGTCCTTTGTCGGAGCTGTTATTGTTGGGACATACAACGTCGTGGTTGTGATCGTGCTTACCAAGCTGTTGGTAGCAATGCTTCATAAAAGCTTCCAGTTGATAGCAGTAAGTATTCATTCTTTTAAAAACTTTATATTCTTGGGGCGCCTGGGTGGCTTAGTCGGTTAAGTGTCCGACTTTCACTTAGGTCATGATCTCGCGGTTCGTGGGTTCGAGCCCTGCGTTGGGCTCTGTGCTGACTGCCAGCTCAGAGCCTGGAGCCTATTTCAGAGTCTGTGTCTCCCTCCCTCTCTGACCCTTCCCAGCTCACGCTGTCTCTCTCTCTCTCTCTCTCCTAGAAATAAATAAAAATATTTTAAAAAAACAAAAAAACTTTATATTCTTTCAGATTGTACCAAATATATGTAGTAGATAAGGCAACCAAAGATTGTAAGAATTAAGAATTAGTATTATTCTAAAATTAAATATAGATTTAAAAATTTTTTTTAATGTTTTTATTTAATTTTGAGAGAGGGTGGGGGCAGGGAGGAGCAGAGAGAGAAGGAGACACAGAATCTGAAGCAGGCTCCAGGCTCTGAGCTGTAAGCACAGAGCCTGATGTGGAGCTCGAACTCATGAACCACGAGATCATGACATGAGCCGAAGTTGGACACTCAACTGACTGAGCCTCCCGGGCACCCCAAGTATAGATTTTTTAAATGTAAGTAATATATATTAATGACAACTCTTGAACCAAATTTTTACCTACATGCTGTGTAAACATTTGGACATCAAACATTTGGACAGTTTAAAATGATAGCCCCCTCCCCACCTCTCTCTCCTTCTGCCCTTCCCTACCCTGTGTGTGTGTGTGTGTTCACGTTCTATGTTGCTTTTTCATTTGGCTCTTACAGAATCATGAAGACAAAGAATGGAAGTTTGCCCGAGCAAAGTTGTGGCTTAGCTACTTTGATGACAAATGTACATTACCTCCACCTTTCAACATCATTCCTTCACCAAAGACTATTTGCTATATGATTAGTAGCCTCAGTAAGTGGATTTGCTCTCATACATCAAAAGGCAAGGTTAAACGGCAAAACAGTTTAAAGGTAAGAAATTAAAATTGTAACTTGGAAATTTTAACAATTCCTAATTGCAGATGCTTCCTAGAGCATAAATATGCAGGTTCCTTAAGGGCTGGGCTGGGACTGATTTTTTTTTTTTTTTTTTTTTACTCATATATCCCTAATGAATGGCATAGTATCTAACATAAAGTAAGAATTCAGTACATGAGAGATAGACCTGTGATTTTTTTCATGAAATCTTGTCTCAACTTTTAAAACATGGGAAATGTTTAGAATGCCAATTCTATCAGCACAGTTAAAGATTGACTACTAGAGCCATCTCATATTTTTCTAGTTTTTATTGAAAGTTATTCATTAAATGAATAATTCAGTTCATGTTGCTATAAGCCAGAGGTTTGCAAACTTTTTCTTTAAAGGGCTTGTTAGTAAGTATTTTGGACTTTGCAAGCTAGGACAAAATCAAATGTATGACTATCATAAGTAATATAACAAGAAAGAACACAAATTTCCACAGAATTTTTACTGATAAATTTAAAATGTAACACTAATTGAGTAATAATTTAATAGTTTTTTGTAATACAGATTTACTAATGAAAAGAATGAAATTTCGTTTGGGGGGATGACATTTTGTTTAATTGGGATTCAAAATCAGTGTTCCCTATCATCAAATTAATTATAAATACTCATCTGTAAAAACCATTCTTAGCTCACAGGCCATTAAAACATAGGAAACAGGACATACTTGTCCTGTGGGTTGTAGTTTGCTAATCCTTCATATAAATTGAGGATTCCTAAGAATATTTTTAAATCAAGATAAGTCTATGGATGAATAATAAAACAAATAGGCAGGCCGTATTTGTTTTAAACAAGTGTTGATTATTTTGTGACACATAGTGCCAAAAATAGAGCCTAATAAAGCATGTGTTAGTATCTATGAAAATTTTTTTAAATGTACCTCATTTAAATATTGTTTAATTAATTGTTAGTATCATATAATTGCTTGTTTTGAAGGAATGGAGAAATTTGAAACAAAAGAGAGATGAAAACTACCAAAAAGTGATGTGCTGCCTAGTGCATCGTTACTTGACGTCCATGAGACAGAAGATGCAAAGTACAGATCAGGCAACCGTGGAAAATCTAAATGAACTACGCCAAGATCTGTCAAAATTCCGAAATGAAATAAGAGATTTACTTGGCTTTCGGACTTCTAAATATGCTATGTTTTACCCAAGAAATTAACCATTTTCTAAACCATGTAGAGAATAATTTTCAGTAATAAATCTGAAAGATTGCATTTGCATAATTTGCAATTAAATCAGTGAGATATATATTGAAATTAAAATGAAGAATTATGTAAAAGCCATTCTTTAAAATATTTATAGCATAAATATATTATGTAAAATATGTATATATGATTAGTTTTATAAAACCCTCTATTAGTAGATTTTTGCAGGAGCAAAACAGATTAAGTAGATAGATTTTGTTAGCATGCTGCTTGGTTTTCTTAGTTGAACAGTGCTTTAAATTCTTTTCTTTTTATGTTTAAGAAGGGCAGTTATAATTGTACACATTGCCAGGAGGTTTTGTAAAGTGAAGATCAGCAAATGTGGGCTGGTTTCCATCCATAGGATACACTTGAAATATAGTTAAGTGGTGTTTTTTAAAATCTGTTTTAGGAGTTCACATTAGTTCAGTATTTATTGTTTAGAAATATAGTTTTATCTAAAATAAGTCTATTTTTTTTAATTAACTTAAGTAACAAAAAAAAACCCCTAATGGATGTTTGAATCTGTTTATGTCTCTATAAATTTTAATTCACTTCAGTTTTTGTTATTGTAATATATTTACTTTTACATGGTTGTATTCACTTTATATTTTTTGTTTTTTTCACTTAATAGTATTTTATATATACATTCCATGTATTGGTATAGTCTATATATTTAAATTTTTATAGAATTATTATAGTTTTTGAAAGATCTAGTCAGTAGATGTTTCATTTTATAGCAGTAGAGTATTTGAGTATGTTTATAGGTTTGCACAGTTATTTCACTAAGGCTAGGCATTTGGTAGCTTTTAATTTTTATGTATCATAATAGTGCTACAGTTTTTTTCATTTTTCAAGTTGGAGTGACTGTTCATAGTTAAGCTAAACCCAAAATAAGGATTTAGTAGTTACTTTATCATACGTGGTCACAGCCGGTTTTGTTGTTGTAAATTGGAAGACCCTTCAATGTGAGGATTTATTTTATATTTGAACTAAGGTTCTTGAACTAATCTCCCAAAGTGTTTTCCACAGAATTTAGCATAGCTTCTATAAAAGTGACTTCTCGGTTATTTGTGGATCACTCATGCTGCTTAAGATAAAAGCCTTGATTTTTTTTTTAATTGGAGAAAAAGATATGTATTTAAATTTTTTTTCCTGCATTTATGTAAGGGATGTATTTTTAAAAAGTTCAACAGGCTATTGCTTATATTTTCGTGCAGCATTTCCAGTTAAGAGGTTATTAGGCATATAATTATCTTCTTAACTGAATTTCAGATGGTGTTAAGGCCATGGGGTGCAGGTAACCCTAGGTCTGTAAGCCCCACTGATCCAGGGGTCATTGTCTAAATAGTATTATGCTTCATCTTGCTTTTTACTTTTTATTTTTTAATTTCCAAATTGTAAGTGTTCCCTCTTTGGGGCAAATTCTTATAAAAATGTTTATTGTAAAATTATATATTTTGTCTACAATGGGATTATGCACTTCCCAGTTGGGATTTTACATCAGGATTTTTAGTCATTCTAAAAAAAATACCTAATTATTAATCAAAATATTTATAGAGTGCCTACTGTATGCATGAATTATTTATGAGGTATATTTTGGATGACAGCATATTGTAAGAAAAAAGGTAAATAAAATGATATTAGATTATAAGTTGGTGGGGTCTATTTATTGTATTATCATGTTTTATACTTTTATTGAAATATAATTCACATAGCATAAAATTCACTTTTGGAAGTGTACAGTTCAGTGTGGTTTTTTTTTAAATCATGGTAAGAAAGGTCTAAAATGTGAAACATCAGCATCAGACCCCTTTGTGCCCCTTTCCACCTCCTGTGGCAAACATATTGAACTCTTTTAGCTATTTCTTATATTTATAAATACCATGTTTTGAAATAATTGTTGACACAAAGACCTCTGTGAACATTTATAGCAGCTTTATTCATGATCCCAAACTGGATCACTGAAAACAACCAAATGTTCATCTGCTGGTGAATGGATAAACACGGTGTACATCCGTACGGTGGGTATTTATTTACTTAGTAATACGAAAGAATTGTATCAGCGTTCAGTCAGAGAAGCAGAACTACCAGGATATTGCAGGCATAGTGATTTATTTACAGGGATTTGCCGTTACACATTGGAATTGGTTAAGCGGTCTCTGTGAGGCTGCTGTTTGCATCTAATGCTAGAGCTTAGAGTTCACACAGTAGGCAGTTGGGAAGGGAAGATAGATGTAATGTGGAAGAAACCAGGACAAATTGGAACCCGTGAGGACTGAGACCTGTGTCACTTCTTACTGCCTCCAAGTTTGGTGATGTGGGTATCCTGTGTGAAAAGTTGCCTTTTGCCAGGTTGCTAAACACACAGTTGGCCCAGGATTCAAAGAAGCTGAAGGAAGATCCAAGGAAAGGTAGGACAATGTAGACCAGACTGCTGCCCCATCCCCAGAAGTTGAGCCAGCAGGTAAGTTACCCCACGTTTGAGCTACAAAAGTGCCTGCATAAAAAATGATATCACTGCTGCTTCACTTCTGCCCTCCAGATTTTACTCTAAAATGTGGCTTGTTGGGGCGGGGGGGCGCCTGGGGGGCGCAGTTCATTAAGCCTCTGAGTCTCAATTTTGGCTCAGGTCATGATCTCATGGTTCATGAAATCGAGCTCCATGTGCTGTCAGCACAGAGCTTGCTTGGGATTTTCTCTCTCACTGTCCCTTCTACCCCCACTCAAATCAATAAACTTAAATAAACTTACCCTAACTTAAGGCCTAGCCAAGTTGACACAGGAACAAACTACCAATATATATGCCATGACATAGATGAGTCTTAAAAGTATTATGCTAAGTGAGGAAAAGGTTACATACTGTATGATTCCATTCACATGACCTTCTAGAAAAAGATAAAACTATGGCAACCCAAATCAGATCACTGGTTATTAAGATCTGGTGGGAGGAGAAGACTGACTACATAATCAAAAGTACACTCAAAAAGGGAGAATTTCTTAAAAAATTTGTTTAGTGTTTATTTTTGAGAGAGACAAAATGCGAGAGAGGGAAACACAGAATTCGAAGCAGGCTCCAGGCCCCGAGCTGTCAGCACAGAGCTCTTATGCAGGGCTTGAACTCGAACCCGCGAGATGATGACTTGAGCCAAACTCAGACACTTAACCCACTGAGCCACCCACGTGCCCCCAAAAAGGACGAATTTTAATAAATGCAAATTATGCTTCAGTAACCTGACAAAAATACATTGTTACAACTTAAGAAAATAACAACAGGGGCGCCTGGGTGGCTTAGTCGGTTAAGCGTCCGACTTTCGCTTAGGTCATGATCTCTCGGTTCGTGGGTTCGAGCCCCGCATCGGGCTCTGTGCTGACTGCCAGCTCAGAGCCTGGAGCCTGTTTCAGTCTGTGACTCCCTCTCTCTCTGACCCTCCCCTGCTCATGCTGTCTCTCTCTCTCCTAGAAATAAATAAAAAAAAAAAAAGAAAATAACAACAGACCTAATTCATTATCACTCCAAAGAAAACAGTGCTTATGCAAGTCAGTAAGTAGCTCATCATTAACACAACACACTGAGGTGAAATAATAGTAATAATTGCCAAAGTAAATTACTTTGTACTATTTTTTCAAAATAATTTTGGCTATTTTAGCTTCTTTCTCTTTCATATAAATTTTGGAATTTGCCTATCAATTTCTACCAAAAAAGTGGAGATTTTTTTTTTTTTTACAAATAGTTTATTGTCAAATTAGTTTCCACATAACACTCAATGCTCATCCCAAGTGCCCTCCTCCATTCCCATCCCTCCTTCCCGCCACATCCATCAGTCCTCAGTTTTTGTCAGCATTCAAGAGTCTCTCATGGTTTGCCTCTCTCCCTTTCCCCCACCATTTCCCCCCTTCTTCTCCCCCTTGTTCCTCCGTCAAGTACCTCCTAATCCTCCTATACGTGCAAACATATGATATTTGTCCTTCTCTGCCTGACTTATTTCGCTCAGCATAACACCCTCAAGGTCCATCCATGTTGCTACACATGGCCAGATTTCATTGTTTCTCAGTGCCATGTAGTATTCCATGGTATAGATAAACCACATCTTCTTGATCCATTCGTCTGTTGATGGACACTTAGGCTCTTTCCATGTTTTGGCTATTGTGGAGAGTGCTGCTATGAACATTGGGGTACATGTGCTCCTATGCGTCAGCATTTCTGTATCCCTTGGGTAAATTCCTAGCAGTGGTATTGCTGGGTCCTAGGGGAGTTCTATTGTTAGTTTCCTGAGGAACCTCCACACTGTTTTCCAGAGGGGCTGTACCAGTTTACATTCAAAAGTGGGGATTTTTATTAGAATTGCATTCATGTTGAAATTTTTGTTTTCCTCAGAAAATACATTTATAAAATCCAAATAGGCTGAGCTTATAGGCCATGAGGAGTAAACCAGTTGGGTCTAATTATTTAGAATTACATTAAGAAGATATTAATGGGGTGGGGGGCACCTGAATCTTATGATTTGTGAGATCCAGTCCCACATCAGGCTCTTTGCTGATAGCAAGGAGTCTGCTTGGGATTTTCTCTCTCTCCCTCTCTCTGCTCCTCCCCTGCTCATGCACACACACTCTCAGAACTCTCTCTCAAACAAACAAAAACCTTTCAGCCACATAAATGACAAGTAAGCCCCATTTTCTTCATCCTGCAGTCTAGGGATTCCTGTGTGTGTGTCTGTGTGTGTCTTCATTAGAAAGAACATTTAATTCATCTTTCAATTTTAGGCAAATTATTCTAATTGAAAGATATTAATATTATCAGGTGCTATGTGATAAGAATTTTAAGGAGCTGCCTCAGTAGCTCATCCAGAAATTTAATTTTGTGAGGTTATTTTAATATTCTAAATTTTAAATATTTTAAAACCATCCCCCCATTTAATATTTCAGTGGAAATAGCAGTCACTGTATTTTCTATAATGATTATTTTAATATAGAGCTTTCTTTTTTTCTGAGTTATAAAACTAGGCAGAAACAATTCTCTTATTCTCCATATACTCAGCTTAAGTTTGGTGTTGATAGTGAATAGCACAAGTTGTTGAATGAAAATTTAGTTTTATCTAGTTGTGTAAATATCCTAGACATTTACCTGATAGTTGTGTGCTCTAGAACATATTTCAGCAAATTGGATTGGAAGAAGACAGATCACCTACTTCAATCTTCTCATTTTAGAGGTGAGAAAATTGCCATTTTAAGTAATTTGTCTAAGATTGAATCATGACTGACATGAGATCCTGAACTCAGTTTATTGTTTGAGATATATCCCAAAGCTTTGCTTTTTTGACTTATTTCTTATTGTAAGTTCATCTTGGTCAGAGAACAGAATTTAAGATGCTTTAAAAATCCTTGCTTTTCTAAATGAATAGTTTATTAGAGACTTAATTTATAACCAAGGACAGAAGCAGAGACCAGTGAGATGAGCAAGGATTAAGAGGGAAAAGAGGGACAGTAAGGTAGTAGCACAAATAGAAAATCAGGAGTCAGCCCTCCCAAAAATAAGCCAAGGCATGGAGGGACC